TAGAAGAGCATTGTATGATGATATTGAACATAATTGGTTGCAGTATAAAATTGAAAGAAATAAAGTAATAAAATTAATCAGGGAGAAGAAGAAAGATTACTATGAATGTATGATATCTTAATAAAGGAGACCCTACATCTATGTGGAAAACATTGAAGGAAATAATTAGGGGTGAACCAGTAGGTATAAAAGAAGTAGGAAATATAGATTTTGAAATCTTAGGCGATACCGAAGAGTGCAATATAGCTGATAAATTTAATTTATATTATATACAAAGTATTAATAACATAGTAAACTCTATAAAGATCGATAAATACGGTGGTGATATAATTGATCATTGGATGAATGTAAATAAGAAAATTATTTATATTATCAAAAACAAAAGAATTATGGAAAACTTTGAGACTGTTAAACTAGAACAGCTAGAAAAAGTTGTTATGGGATTACCAAAAAAGAAAGGTACGGAGGAAGGGATAACCAGCGATATATTGAAGGCAGTTTTTTCAATAGTAAAAGAGGAATTTGCGAATATAATAAATAATTCTTTAAGAGAAGGTTTGTGTCCGGAAGGATGGAAAACCTCAACGATAATACCAATCCGAAAGATAGATAAAGCGGAAAAAGCGAGTGATTATAAGCCTATTAATATGTTACCAATATTTGAGAAAGTGTTAGAACTAATAGTTAAAGAACAACTTGAAATGTATTTGGAAACTAACGATATTATAACAGAACATCAGTCGTGGTTTAGAAAATACTATTCGTGCGAAACAGCGATCCAAACTGTCATTGATGAATGGAAATTGATAGTAAGTGATAGAAAAATGGTAGGAGTAATTTTTATGGACCTTAAGAGAGCGTTTGAAACAATAGATAGAGAAAGATTATTAGAAAAAATGTATTATTATGGAATTAGAGGAATGGCTTTGGAATGGTTCAAATCATATTTAAATAATAGGAAACTGCAAGTGCGAGTCAACCAAGCGTGGTCTGAAATATTGACAACAGAGTACAGAGTGCCACAAGGTTCGGTACTTGGACCTTTACTATTTATAATATATATAAATGATATAATCGAAGCTTGTCCAGAAGGGTGTAATATTAAGATGTTTGCAGACGACACGCTTATATATGTAAATGGAGAAAGTAGGGCGGATATAGAGGTAAAATTGAATACGGTTTTTAATATAATTGAACGTTGGATGAATATAAATAAGTTAAAAATGAATGCTAGTAAAACGAAATATATGATAGTTAGAAGTACTCGAAAAGAATTGAAAGGTAATACGGTTTTGAAATGTCTGGATGGAATTGAAATAGAACGAGTGAAAAATATGAAATATCTAGGTATAATTATTGATAACAGACTTCGATTTCAAGATCACTGCGATTATATGATAAAGAAAATAGGTAAAAAAACAAATTTCTTAAATAGAATAGGTAATTATATATCAGTCTATACTAGATGCATTATATATAAGACAATTATAGCTCCTCATTTTGAGTATTGCGCGACGCTATTAATAGGCATGGGGGAGACACAGATAACCCAATTGCAGAAAGTACAAAACAGAGATGAGGATAATACTTCAATGTGATAGATACACCAAAGTGGATGACATGCTAGAAGCGTTGCAATTTATGTTAGTAAGACAAAGATTGCAATATAATATATGTATATTTATTTTTAAGATATTAAATGGTTTGCTGCCAACTCAATTAAGGAATAGGTTGCAGATAGTAGGGAAGGAATGTGATAGGGAAACAAGACAAGCGGGTAATATTGAACTGCAGTTTATGAAAACAAAGTCCGCGCAAAAAAGTTTGTTTTATGAAGGCATAAAAATATATAACGTCCTGCCAGAGAAAGTTAAAAATTGCGATAGGCTAAAATTGTTCAAGAGTAAGCTTAAGGCGCATATTTTCGCAATGTAAAATATGTAAGTTTAAATGTATATGAAAATAGCTGAGAAAGCTAATAAAAGCTCATCAATCTCTCTCTCTCTCTCTCTCTCTTTCTCTCTCTCTCTCTCTCTCTCTTTCATTTGCTCACTCACCTGTAATTTTTTTTTACGAGAGAGGGGAAAATGCATACCCACCGGTCGATCCAGTGAGTTATGTGGGACTCGAGTACCAAGTCGAATTATCAACTCGATACTCCCTACCCACTAAATACCCCTCTCTTTTCACGAATTTTCTTTGACACACAGTCCTTCCCGAGATCCGTTTTCACATAACGTCAAAAAATAGTTATTATTACCTTGTTCGATGATTTCTAATGTATTGCTGTAATTGCTTGAAGGAGAAATGAATTTTCCGATAGATCGTACGCATTCTCAAATTTAACGTAGATATCACGTTTCACAAGACAGAAATCCACACTAAATTATTAACTGAAAGTTTTTCTTCTTTCATGAACTGCATTCTTTTATAAATTTTAACATAATCATATTTATTTACTCACTCGACGAGAAATTTACTAATGACTCTATCACTAATCACTATTAATCGCTGTCGAATAATAACTGTTGGCGATTAAAAATCACTCGATAAAAGAAACACGCACGGACACGTTACTACACGACGGGAAGAGGCGACAATGCGACGATAATTACTCGGCGACTGCAAGCAGTTTTTTGTCATAGTAGATTTCGGTATTAATAATATTAATATGTTAAATGTTTATTATGTTTACCGTATTCTTCAATCGAACACATGATCGCGTTCGATAGCGCCAGTAGTACCTTAACCTACCGCAACCTACTATGACAAAATACTGTTTGCAGTAGCCGAGTAATTATCGTCGCATTGTCGCGTCGACGCGTTGTGTAGTAACGTGTCTGTGCGTTTCTTTTATCGAGTGATTTTTAATCGCCAACAGTTATTATTCGACAGTGATTAATAGTGATTAGTGATAGAGTCATTAGTAAATTTCTTGTCTCGTCGAGTGAGTAAATAAATGTGATTATGTTAAAGTTTACAAAAGAATGCAGTTCATGAAAGAAGAAAAACTTTCACTTAATAATTTAGTGTGGATTTCTGTCTGGTGCAACGTGATATCTACGTTAAATTTGAGAACGTACGATCTATCGGAAAATTCATTTCTCCTTCAAGCAATTACAGCAATACATCAGAAGTCATCGAACAAGGTAATAATAACTATTTTTTGACGTTATGTGAAAACGGATCTCGAGAAGGACAGTGTGTCAAAGAAAATTCATAAAAAGAGAGGGGTTTTTGGGTAGGGAGTACCGAGTTGGTAATTCGACTTGGTACTCGAGTCCCACATAACTCACTGAATCGACCGGTGGGTATGCATAAAATGCATTTTCCCCTCTCTCGTAAAAAATAAATTACAGGTGAGTGAGCAAATAAAAGAGAGAGAGAGAGAGAGAGAGAGAGAGAGAGGGAGAGGGAGGGAGAGAGAGAGAGAGAGAGAGAGAGAGAGAGAGAGAGAGAGACAGACAGACAGCAGACAGAGAGAAAATGTATGTGTTTGCATGTGTGTCTGTATGTGTACAGCAACCAACTGATCGCAGCAGGCGCCCCGCATAAGCGCCCGCGTCTGACGATGAATCGCCTCACCCTTGCCTGCCTCTTGTATCCGACTCGTCATGCGTTAACTACTTTCTTTAATAATTCGAAAACTAAGCTGCGGACGAAATTTTGCAAAAGGAAAAATCGTATTAGAATTGACTCAACAATGTGTCATTTCACGGACACAGGGATTATTTTGAATCACCCTGTATGTACAGGGTGTCCCAAAAGACCTGGACCGGTCGAATATTTCATAAACTATGCACTTTAGAAAGAAATATTTCAGACAAAAGTTGTATGGCTTGAAGGGGGCCATAGTGACAATGATCTTGGAGAGTCATTTGAAGGTGACGTAAAGGTCACCTTCAATTTCTTAAATGGAACCTCCTATCTTTTATTACATATTCGTGTAGCTTATCTCGAGAGCTTCCAAAACACTATAATAAAGTATTTCTTCATTGAGTACTTTTCGAGTTATGAGGCTTGAAATCATTTCTTAATTTTGCATAAACCATAAAATATCTAGTAAAATATTCATTTTTCGATTATCTTATCTTAATACTTTTATGTACAAAATAATGAAAAGAATCAATTGGTGTAAGGAAAACACATAGTTGTTTAAAAAAAAAATGTAATTGTTAATTGCAAATTACATATTTCTTTCTTAAAAACAACTATGTTTTTTCTTTACACCAATTGATTCCTCTCATTATTTTGTACAAGTATTAAGGTAAGATAATCGAAAAATGAATTTTACAAGATATTTTACGGTTTATGTAAAATTAAGAAATGATTTCAAGCCTCATAATTCGGAAAGTACTTAATGAAAACTAACTTAATTATAGTGTTTTGAAAAGCTCTCGACGTGAGCTATCAGAATATTTAATAAAAAATAGGGAGTTATATTTAATAGGGAGTTATATTTAAGAAATTGACGGTGATCTTCACGTGACTTTCAAATGACTCTCCCATGTCAAATCATTGCCACTATCTGATGGCTCCCTTGAAGCCATAGAACTTTTGTCTGAAACATTTCTTTCTAAAGTGCATAGTTTATGAAATATTCGACCGGTCCGGGACTTTTGGGACACCCTGTATATCAGAATCCTCGATTCTCGCGAAACTCGATTAAATTCAACAATTGAAAACCGCGAATACACACACTCATATGCATACCACAACCTCTGTACACCAAATACACAAATAAATACGTACATCTTAACACAATCACTTGCGTATATCTTTCTCGACCCGAACCTTTGGCTCCGACGAGTTATCCGTATAAAGAATAAAAATCTGAAACGATACAGAAGCGCACGTTACAACTCGTATCCGAGAGATGGGATGGACCTCGCTTCGTGCGAGGGTGGGCTTTTATTATACATAATTATCATATCCTTTTTACTTTATATTAATTATAATTCCTTTTTTTAAGAAGCAAAGTATTAAAATGTTCAGTTTACATGAGGAGGAAGGTAATCTGTGGATTTGTAATAGCCGACAGATCCTGCATGTGGCTTATGTCGTTCCTCAGAATAATCGCCAAGATCGGCTTGAAGGGCAAGTCCAGCAAGCGCGAGCAATGGCGTAACGATAGATGGATCGTGAAGGGGATGATGAAAATGGAGGCTCTCCACTCCACCACCATGTCTGATGACATTGTCACGTAATTGCAGATAATAATGATGTCTCGTCGTTTCATCGCTGAAATAGCAATGCGAATAATTAAAAGCTTAATAAATATGTGAAGATTACGTATCATATATAATTAATGAATTAATGTTTATTGTTCTCGAGAGTCCGGAATAAAAGAATAAAAATGGAAGAGTTACATATAAACTACTATTAGAATTAACAAAAATAAATAATATTTTATATAGTTTAGAGAATTATACAAGTACATCGCAAAATCCTATTTAGTGAAATTAGTCATTTCAAGAAATTACAAACAATTTAAAATAATTTAAATTTTCAAGACTAATTATTGTGAATGCGACAACGTTTCTATTATTAAAGCGGAAAAAAAATATTAAAGTTGCAAAAGCTATCCTTAAATAACACTTCGAAAAATATATAGGGTGTCATGAAAGTGATCATTACTTTAAAAAAGGAGCGATAAGTGTGCAGGCGCGCGGCGAAGGCTCCTCTCCTCCCCAATCACCGTTTCGTCACGCGCCGCCATTATATTACAGTGAGACCACCTTCGCCGCCGCGCGCTTCTATTCACCCAGATTGGCCGATGTTCTTTAATTTATTTCTTGTTAATTATTGCGAATATTGCATAACTGTACAAGACTTTTCTTCTAACTTTAAGCCAATCTACCTTAATTTTTTAAAGTAATGATCACTTTTATGACACTCTGTATATTTTAATTAAATATATATTTTTATTATTCGAAACCAAATCGAAATTTTCAAAGTGTTATTTTCTACAATAATTCAATCAATTAAAAATAATTTTTGCTACTTGATTGCTTGTTATTTTAAACTCATTCATTAAAAGTTCTTTATTTAAAGAAAACAGTTTCTTTTTAACGGGGCATTTTACACTATTCTACAATTCCATCTGACAATCGAAATAATGTTGTAATGATATGTAGTTAATTGAAAAACAAAAATTAAAAATTAAATCGAAATTAATAAATAAAGCAACAGCGCGGTAATTGGATCGCAGAGAAGAAATAATACTTTCTTCTTTCTGATTATTCGTTTACTTAACAATAAAATAATTACATATAGGTATACCTATATGTAGAGAAAGTACAAGAACTCTTGCGTTGAAAAATTTAAAAAAATTCAATTTGCTCTATATCAGTGAAAAAAAGTTGGATTATAGCAATATGCGTTGAGAAGAGTAACTTGAACCATTTCGTATTTTTGGCTTTCCCAAAAGAAATACGTTTCATATGGAGACAGTTTTGTAGGTTTTTGGGCATGCTAATTTCAAATTTACTATCAAATGCGTTTCATATGGAGACGGTTTTGTAGGTTTTTGGGCATGCTAATTTCAAATTTACTATCAAAATTTAAATTTAAAATGACAAAGAGGACGGCTATGAAAAATTAAAATATCAATGTATTTAAAATATGAGCTTGAATTGTATTTTTTGAAATATGCAGGGTGTTTCGACATATTAATTAAAAAATATCAGATTTACTTAAGTGGAAGCGCGCAACGAGAAAAGTCTAACTTTATACTAGGCGCGTAACTAAGCGGTGGGCGGAGCTACTCACCAACGTTACGCTGAAGCGCCGCGCACCGCTATCATGTTTTGGAGTGTCCCACCCGCCACTTCGCCGTGCGCCTAATATCAGATTATAGTGGGCGTGCTTTTACTCACGCGAGTTGGTCGATTTTTTTAAATTAATATTTCGAAATTTTATGTGATTGTTTACAAAATGGTTAAAATTTTTTAGTTCAAGATCTACTTATTTTAGCGAGATCTACTTATGATTTTCTTTGACACATGATAGCTGGGACACTTTATATATTGTTTTTTCTGAAAACAATTGATTCCTCTCATTATTTTGTACATAAAAGTATGAAGGTAAGATAATCGAAAAATGAATGGTTTACTAGATATTTTATGGTTTATGTAAAATTAAGAAATTATTTCAAGCCTTATAACTCAAAAAGTACTTAATAAAAAGGTACTTAATTATAGTGTTTTGGAAAGCTCTCGAGATAAGCTACAAGAATATGCAATGAAAAATAGGGGGTTCCATTTAAGAAATTGAAGGTAATCTTTATGTGACCTTCAAATGATTATCCAAGGTCAAATCTAAGGTCACCGTCGGATTGCCCGGGAAAAATCCTACAACTTTTGTCTAAAACTTTTTTCAAAATAATCGACTCCAATCGAGATATTATCTTGTCTCAAGATAATGCCCCACCCTGTATATTATATTATTCTTCATTATCTAAAAGTTTTATATTTGCAAAGTTTAGATAACTATATTTTATTGCAACTATTACATTTCAAAGTTCGCGATTTTTTATACATATAACTTGAACTTTCTTTCTTAAAATAAACCAAAATAAAAATCGGATTATTTGTTTAAAAGTTATGATTATTTTCAGATAAGACATATATGTCCCGAAAGTACGAAAGAATTAATATGGCATCCGCGTGGATGTTGAAAAACATTGTAGGAGATTTTATAGATCATTGAAAACGGCTAAATACCTCATTTTTTGTACTTTTAAGTTAAAATACTTTACGTGAAAAACTTTCTTCGTAAAAATTTTACGTGATACGATTTTCAAGGTCAAATTCGTATTCAACGCATTAAAATCTATCAAATATAACTTTGTTTATCTTAAGATCAACGAAGTTAGTTTATCAAAATGGTATCGATAATTGATGTAATTGATTCAAGCATTGATGGAGCAGAATAATTCTACTATGCCACTAATATAAATGTCCTATTATTAATATGAGAAATAGTAAAATTATTATTAATTTGTCGTTAATCGTGATTAATAGTAAATATCATAAATATTTTTTAATTAAAAAAAATTTTTTTTTGTAAATATTTTATAATTTATAATTTTTTATTATTTTATAATTTTTCCAACTCCTAGATATTCTCCAATTTTGTTCTCCTAAATACTATTCTTTCCTCTTTCCATTCTCTTCATTTCTTTTAATAGTGAGATATAATTTCAAGATCTCCCAAGAATGTCCCTTCTTCACATTCCTCGGAATTTATACTTAAAATTTTTATCTCTCTTTTTTAGATTCTTCTAAATCTGAATTTATAGATTTTGTAGAAAATATCTTCTTTCTCTTCTGAATCTGCATCTAAGGTTTCTTTTCCATCACAAGATTTATCTCACATTATGATAATTCCAAGCAATTCTTTTCTTCTCCTAGACTCTTTTTAACACTTTCCACTATTATCTTCAGCAATTCCATTTAATTTTTGTTCTTTAATACTCCGTTTATCTTAAATCAAAAAAAGAACGCACTTCGAAAAGATATCGTAGAAAATCTCGAGAAAAAATCTCACAATTTTGAAGAAGAGTTTAATGATCTGGAAGAAGAGAATCAGATAATCTGAAGAATTAGATAAGAATCATTTTCTTAAATGCTTTTTAATGCGATTCTTTCCTTCCGTTCCTATATAAAAACATATATAAGCCCTAATCCTGTAGATCTACAAAATATTATTCCAGAATAAAAAAGTCTATTAATAAAAAAGATAAATATGTCAATAAAGAGAGTCCGCTACGATTACCTTGATCTTGACATATGTTGTCAAGGTCTCTACCCTGAGTAATATCCAAAAGGTTTTAGCCGTCGTTCGTTGTTTATTAAAAAGTTAACAAAAGAATTTTACAATTTTAATGCTTTTTATCTCCGGAAATATTGATTTGAGAAAAATAATTTTAAACAAAAAATAAAGCCGCTGAAAAACCCTACAGAAAAAGTTATATGCATTTTTTTCATAAACTTACTATTTTAGCTGTTATATGAAAAAATAATAATTTTAAACACATTTAATACAATTTAAATTTATATAGAATTTAATACAATTAAAAAATATCACAAATGTATGTGTACGCGCGCGCGGGGGATGTAAGGAGGCCTTTGGCCCCCCCTTCCCGCCCGTAGGGGATGCATTGCGAAGAGTTGAATCACCATGAAGATATACTGTAAGTTGTAAAGTGAGGTCCACCTTGCCTACCGGCGGGGTGATTGCGAGAGGGGGAGCTGAACGCTCCCTCTTGCATCCCCCCGCGCGCGCGTGCATGTATGTATGTATACATACATTTGTAATATTTTTTAATTGTATTAAATTCTATAAATTTAAATTGATATGGGCGTAGGTAGGTTGCGTGTCCGCTCTATCTTAGCCGGAAGAGGATGCGCTACTGGCCGCAAGGTTGACGAGGTTTCCGCTAGAATTACTTAGTCACAGTATGGATCTATGTACAGTTTATTTCATATGTTTATTTACAAGTTTATTTACAGGGCCCTGAAAAGGGCCGTTGAGATCAACGCGTTCGCGATACGATATCCGTGAAGTCGCCTTGGTATATCGGAAAAGTCCCTAGGAGCCGTTGTCGTTGTTGTTGACGTCCACCGGTTTGGCGGCTCCGTCTGCGTGGCCGCGGAGCTCGTGGGCGTTTCCTAGTCGGAGTCGGACTGGGGTCTCCTGCTCCGCCGTGGATTTCGGCGGCTGCGTCACCTGGACCAGGGGCTATAAACCTATATGGGTTTCTCGGTACCAGTGTTTGCAGCGCCCTCACTGAATGACAGAGCCAGAATTGGAACTAAGTGATGCCGCCATATTGTTAGTCTGGTCAGTCTGCACAAGTCTGTATCAGCTGTCAGCACGTGTCTCAACGTGTCTATTTATTTTTTTCTTGATTGAGTGATACTGAGCAATATTAAATATAAAAACTAATAACTAAAAAATAAGCAGAATGGTTAGAGCGTGTTGTGTGTTTAACTGCACTTCAACAGGTACTACTCCATCACATACTTTCCCGAAAGATCCACTGATGCGTGAAAAGTGGATGAAAAGTTTAATCTTAAAATCATATCAAGAAAACGAAGTTAATAAACTTCGAGTATGTTATAAACATTTCAAAGAAAGTGATTATAGTGGGAGTAATAAACTTCGGAGATTAATTCGAGCTGCTGTTCCCTCTATGATAGCAATAGAACCTAACCTAAGAACAGAAATATGTAATA